TAGTTGAAATTGCGTATAAAACACATACTCTTGGGGGGAGATCGGTGCAAGGGGAGTGTGACTCTTTTCATATATTTCTTACATATTAAAAATACAGAGCAACCCATCCCCCTCTCCATCCAGGAACCCATTTTACAGAAAGCAAAGTGGAGGTCCCCAACAAGTCGCCTCATTTGGGGGCACAGGGAATTCATTGCAATTAAAAGACCAACGTGTCAATTCTTCCAAGATGTGAGGTGCATCTACACTGTATAAATACTGCAGCTCGACACCACCTGTAGCTCCATCCTATGGAATCCTGGGATTTGTAGTTTCACAAGGTCTTTGCCCTTCTCTGCCAAAGCCTGCTGGTGCCTCACCAAACTACAAACCCCACTTTTCTGTTGGACAGAACCATGGCAGTTAAAATGGTGTCAAGCTGCATTATTTCTACAGATATAAGGTAGGTAGAAAAGATTTGATTTAACCGGTACCTTTTTTCCAATAGTTTAATTGCTCTTTAACTTTAAGGCAAAGGTAAAGGTATTCCCCGTTGATAAGGTTGACAAGTCATGTTCGACCATAGGGAGCGGTGCTCATCTTTGTTACTAAGCTAAAGAGCCAGCATTGTCAGAGACTACTCTGTGATTGCACAGAACACAGTTTACCTTCCCACTAAAGTGGTACCTATTTATCTATTTGCTTTCGATCTTCTGGGTTGGCAGAAGCTGGGACTAGTGACAGGAGCTCACTCCATCATGCGGCACCCGGGCCTTGAACTGCTAACCTGCTGATCTTGCTATCAACAGAGTCAGCATCTTAACCTCCTGAACCGCCATGTCCCTTATTTTTAACTTTGGCTGTTAATTGGTAACTATATTTTACTCTTGTAAGCTGCCTCAAATCCCCAACTAGCAAAAAGCTGGATTATTATTAATAGTAATAATAATAATGGTAGCAACTATGATGATGATGGTGGTGGTGGCAATGATAATAATAATAATAATAATAATAATAATAATAATACACAGAGGGTGCTTCTTCTTCTTAATAATAATAATAATACAGAGGATGCTGATGAATAATAGTAGTAATAATAATAATAATAATAATAATAATAATACACAGAATAATAATAATAATAATAGCAGCAGCTATGATGGTGGTAGTGATAATGATGATAATAATAAGACACAGAGGGTGCTTCTGCTGATTAATAATGATAATACAGAGGTTACTGAATAATAATAATAATAATAATACACAGAGGGTTCTAATAATAATAATAGCAACTATGATGGTGGTGGTGATGATAATGATAATAATAAAACACAGAGGGTGCTGATGATGATGACTAATAATAATAATAATACATAGGCTGCTGATTAATAATACGGTAATACAGAGGGCAGCAGCAGCAGCAACAACAATAATAATAGCAACTATGATGATGGTGGTGGTGGTGGTGATGATAATGATAATAATAATACATATAGGGTGCTGCTGCAGTTGCTTAATAATAATAATAATAATAATAATAATAATAATAATAGAGTGTATTGATTAATGATAGTAATCATCATCATCATACACAGAGAGTGCATCAGTGGTTCCCAAACTTTGGTCCTCCAGTTATTTGGGACTTCAGCTCCCAGAATTCCTGACTTTTGGCCAAGCTAGTAGAGCAGGAGTAGGCAACCTTTCCCCTTTAAGGGCTGAGGGACTTCAGCTCCCAGAATCCCAGGAGCTATTGGCCAATATGGGACTATTGGCCAACATGGCTGAGGCTTCTGGGAGCTGAAGTCCCTTGGCCCTTAAAGGGGAAAGGTTGCCTACCCCTGTAGTACAGGCTTCTGGGGGATGAAGTCCAAAACACCAAAAAGTTTGGGAATCACTGATCTACTACATTGTGGAAATAACGCAGCTTGCCACCACTTTGAGTGCTGTGAAGCCCCATCCTAGGGAACCCTGGGATTTGCAGTTTCACAAGGCCTCCCCCCCTTCTTTGCCTCCCCAAACTACAAACCCCGTCACGATTCCGTAGAGCATGGAGCCCTGGCAGCCAAAGGGGTGCCAAAGCCAAACTGCATTATTTGTATAGTGTAGACAGAAGTGTAGACCCGTGGGATCACCGCAGCCTTGCAGAGAGTCAAGGCACGGCAAGGCTGAAAAATGCAAAGGGAAGGGGCTGGAAGGATAGGGGATAATAACCCGTCCTGCCTCCTTGGGGACCCCAGAGGCATGGGGCTGAGAGGAGGGTCGCTTCCCGGGGCAATGGAGAAAAAGGGAGTCCCCCTCCTGCTTCCTACAACACTTACCGAGGGTTTCAATAACCTTCGCAGTGACCCAGCCGCCCCAGCCGCCGCCATGTTGAGCATGTGAAGGAAGAAAGGAAGGGGCTGGGCCTACTTGGGCTTGGCCCAAGGAAAAGGCCGCAGGGGAAGAGAGGGAAGCTTGTTGCCCAGGGCAACCATCCTCAAGGCCTCACTCCTGCCAAGGGGGAGGGGGAAGGCGCCCCAAAATGGAAGGACCTTCCCAAGGAAAAGGGAGGACATGGCCATCATATCACAGCTGCTCAAGGCACTCCTAGGAATGTAAAAGTCCATTCTCAAGAAAAATGAGAGACCAAAACAAAAGCTCAAAACACTCCCAGAAATGTAAACCCATGCTTCTTTTGAGTCCTGCTCAAAAAGGAGGCCTTTCTCAAGAAGAATGGAGGACAAAACAAAAGCTCAAAACC